AAAAATTGGTCGGAACATGCTCATATGCCGGAGTATTAGATTTGATGGCTAAAGGTGGTCACAATCTAAGAAATAAAATAATTTGGGTAGGGTCGGAATGATGACACGACCCTACTGAAAAAGAAAAATTATACAGGTAGGGTTGGACTGATGGCACAACCCTACGCAAATCAGATTTAAGGAGTCATCGGAAAGACGAATGGAACTATGCAAATCAAATCTGAGGAGTCGCTGAAAAGACACATGATGCTATGCAACTTAGTTATGAGAAAATAGTTCGGAAACATCCACGATACTACACAAATTAAATATGGGAAGTAGTCCGGAGAGATGCACGGTGCTAGGCAAATTAGATATGCAAAAAAGGTAGTCACCGAAAGGATGGCACGGTGCTACAAAAATTATATATGAAAAAGTAGTCACTGGAATGATGGCACAGTGCTACACAAATTATATGAGAAAGTAGTCACCGGAAAGATGGCATGGTGCTACGAGTTACATATAAGGAAAGTAGTCACCGGAATGATGGCACGGTGCTTACATAAATAAAATATGAGAAAATAGTCACCGGAAAGATACACGGTGACCCAACTTTTGCTAACATAATTGTTGGCCAGACGGGCGGCATATATGAGTAATAGCCGCCCGCTGGCAGCGGAAGCACTTTGATTGTTTACCAAGATCGTAGATGCTCTGATACCATGTGAGAAATATATGAGAAGAATATTATTGAATTGTTGCTGTTTACATTATTACATTGAGACCCTATTTATAAACCCTAGAATACAATCTTTTACCAAGTACAGATACTATTTAGTATTCCTATTTCTATTTCTATTCCTATTCCTATTCTAATAGGATTGTATAAACTTATTCCTATTCTAATAGGATTGTATAAACCTATTCCTATTCTAACAATAATATTCTTGGTTTCTTTTAAAGAGTGAAGGCATAATAGTGTTGATATTTTAATTGGAGTGGAATGTGATGGGCATTACTGTCACTAAAATTTATAATTAGTAGAGTAGGAATAACCAAGAACACATGGGGATGCCACACACTTCCTTGAATTTTCACTATTGAAGTCCATTATTAAGCATCAAAGGGGATCCAGCGGTCAATGCAGTGTGATGAAAATCATGGGAGATAAGGGTTCAAAGCTCAATCAGGCTTAAAAGTTTAGGTGACTTAATCCCATCTGCACAAGATTTAGTGGGAGAGTCTCTTGGTATCATATTGGTGGGAGCTAGCAAGTACCCAGTAATATAATCGAGGTGTACATAATCTGGCCCGAACACCACTATTTATTAAAATAAAAAAATATTCAGTCTTTCATTATTTTCCTGTATTCAACATGCCTACATAACTGTCTGACTGCACTAGCTTGTAGGTGAGGTATAACAATAGGAGTGGAAGTGAACTCAGAAGAAGAGACCTTAGACAACCCAGAGATCATAGTGGATTTTGTGTGCTTCATCCAAACGTTTTAGTTACTATCAAAGAGATAATTATCCACTCGGTTCATGACTTCTCCACATCTGATTGGGTCAGAGTTCAGAAATATTTTTTATTCTTCTTTGTAGAAAAAAACAAGCATATCTGGTTTCTCATTTGCTGTTGTGAAAGACTGTTTTCACATTACCTATGCAAATGTTCTATTTTCTTTTGGTTATTTTTGTCGTTTTCTTGCGTATCTGTTAAAAGGTAACCTTTCGCACTTAAATAACAGTTTTTGTCGTGCAATCTTCTGGACATTGTTATATTTGGTTCTACCTTGCGTCTCTGACTGGCATCTGCTGCTATTTCGCGTTTTAAGTCATAGAAGCTAGGTATATGCTTCATCTTCAAGTTTTCCCTTTCAAAAAGTTCGGAGCATATGTTTGGGTATCTGCCTGGATCCTACCAAATATTCTTGGGAAGCCGCCACAGCTGTCAAATTAAGTGTTTTCTAAGCTATTGTTTGTATTTTTTCCCCTAGATGGCAGGCAGGGAGAATGGGGCAACTACTGTCTCTGCAACAATGTATCTTGCTTCGAAGGTGATGACTGCATCCTACAGGATTTTTCTTGTAACTTTCTTGTTTTTTCTGTATAATTTTGTAGAAAAATCTTCTGCATTTTGTAGGTGGGTATTCCAGTATTTGTCACTGGCGGTATTGGAGGAGTACATAGGCATGGAGAGAACAGTAAGTGAATCAACACTTGTATATGTGCTTTGGCACTTTAAAATCTATGGTGATGCTAGAATGATGATTTTGCTTGGTAGCATCTGATTTTTAAATTAGAACGATAGCTTGCCGAATCTCTTTGAGCATTTTGTGACAATAGTTGGCAAACAAATATTTAATTCATAAATAAAATCAAGAATGGAGTTATGGAGGACAAGATGCACGTACATTTTCATGTAGAGACTGATACGTGATCAGCGGTATCATCAATATGAATTAAGCAGGAATGACACTAAACTAGACATTTTCATGTAGACTGGTAAGTGATCAGCGGTATCATCAATATGAATTAAGAAGGAATGACACTAAACTAGGGTGTCCAACTCCAATCTGTTACGAGGAGCAATATGGAGTTTCTTCTGATGATTATTTTACTGATTAGTTCCAAATATTGGCTCAATAATGATTTTCAACTTCGGTAAATGGCATAAGACCTGGTTAATATGAGATGCTTAGAGTGTCCATCACTATGGACTGTTTGCTCCTTAAATGGTCTTGGGTGATCCATGCCTTGTGAGCTAGCTTTTAAGGTTGAGTGAGAATCAACATCCATTTTCTTAACATGATATCAGCGTTGGTGCCATCTCTATTCTTAGTTTACCTGTTGTCCATGGTCCAAATTTCCAGACATCAGTGTGCAGAGGAGGGGTGTAATAGTGTCCCACACAGATTGAGGGAATGAGTTATTATCTCCGTACAGGGTCTTGACAATTTTCATCGCATAAGCTAGCTTTTGAGGCTGTTAGACCCAATGTCATTTTGTTAATCTTATTCATTTCTCATGTGACTTTATTTCTCACATGGTATTAAAGTTAGACCCACCCCTATTCTTGGTTTATCCAATGTCAACCCCATATTATGCTGTCCACGCTTCAGATGTCCAGGACGTGTAGGGAGTTAGAGTGTCCGACATTGGTTGAGGTGTCACCTTATATTGTCTTGGATAGAACTCACCTCAAGAGTTAGCCCCATGGTCCATTTCTTAACAAGGTGGATTATTAGGCTGTTTCTAATAAACTCGCGCTCTACATGGTTTTCATTTGACATTTAGAGCATCTCTCAAGCCTTTTTGTTTTAAGGTAGCAAACTTTTCATAATGAAATAAGCAACTTCCTTAGCTTTCAACTTTTCTTCTCTTATTTGCATTTATTTCTTATTTATTATGTTTGAGTAGTTCTTATGCATTTATTTATACAGCAATGGATGTTTCTTCTGATCTTACTGAGCTTGGAAATACTCCTGTGGCTGTGATCTCTGCTGGTATAAAATCGATACTAGATATTCCTCGAACACTTGAATATTTGGTTTGTACCAACTTTGGATTTAACTTCAGATCTCTTATATATGATAATGGAGGACTTGGCAATTTAACTCCTTCCTTTCCTATCTTGACCTACAGGAAACTCAAAGAGTTACTGTTGCAGCTTATAGAACCGATGAGTTCCCTGCTTTCTTCACACAAACCAGTGGCTGCAAGGTTCATATTTTGTCATTAATCCTATCATAGGATTCCTATGATTAACTCCTGTTATATGTTTCAAACAAAGCGGACTATTAAAACAGTCACGGAAACGCTTCCAAAAAATGAAAACCAGACCAACTTATAGTTTCTTATGTAGTGTGCCATCTTTTTGTTTTATGTCACTTTTATGGTGTGTTCCAAAAAGAATAACACATTTCTATATTTGGGAACTCTTTAATTTTAAGTCTCTCATTTTACCCTAATGACATACTCTAATAGCCGTAAGAATGTCATTGCATATTTAAGACCACAAGTTTTAAGACTGCCTTCCGTATGGTATATTATATATTCAGTTTATATGTCAAAAGTCTTCCTTTCTTTCTCAAACACCTGGTGAACACCGCTTTATAAAATGAAATGGAGGGAGTAGATTTCTCTACTGAACCGTGAAAGAGTGAGGTATAGGAAAAAGGGGTCAAACGTTGTTACATGCTGAAATGTGCTGCTCGTCAACACCAAACACTTATATGGTCAAAATGTGGATTCTTCTCTTCTTTTAATTATTTTTATTCCTTCATTATTGGGAATGGTGGGGTGGTTCAGAAGAAAATGATAGAGTAGGTGAATAGATTACTTTTCTTTAGGAATGTATGGATAGCTTGTCATATAATTTCAGTTAACATGAGATCATATTTTTCTTTATTATGTTTATAATGCACATTATATCATGTTTTCTAATTGGTTATCTTTGCCATAAAACTTAGGCACCTGCTCGAGTAGAATCGCCAGAACATTGCGCTCGAGTTATTGGCAAGCAACCCTATACCTATTTCATACTTCATTCATTTACTCGTTAAATATAGCGTATTTACTTCTATTCCCCAACTTTGACTGTAGATGCTAACATAAGACTTGAGCAGAAGAGTGGAATCTTGATAGCAGTCCCCATTCCAAGAGAGCATTCTGCTTCTGGAAGTTTGATTGAGTCGGCAATACAGCAAGCTCTCCAAGAAGCACGGTAAGTATTCTGCTGTATCCTCTTATTTGCGGAAGTACATGGTTCTTTGCACCTCATTACCTATTTCCACATATTAATGTTGGGATGTAATTGCTAACTCAGAGAGAAGAAGATTACTGGCAATGCTGAAACTCCGTTCTTACTTGCAAGAGTCAATGAACTTACTGGTGGAGCATCTCTGGCTTCAAGTATCCCTTAACTGATATTACTATACGCTGTTTAATTTGCAGATCATTCGTTAAAATCTTGATAGAGAAAGAGGAATGTCACAATAAATTATTATCAATCATTTCCACAACGCCACCTGAATTAGATCATGGCCTTCAGTTTACTCCATCCTTTTAGTTTCCTTAATGAAGTTTCAGACATTGCTCTCGTGAAAAATAATGCCAGTATCGGTGCTAAAGTTGCTGTTTCGCTTGCCCAGCTTCAAAAACGTAGTTACAACAGGTTGGTGCACTCAATCTGTTACCATTCTTTTGGTTACAACCTCAACTGGTTTCAAATTCGGTGACATGCTAAGAAAAACCGGTGTTTTTACTTTTCAGGTTGTAATTCTCTTATATTCGCGCTCCTTCGTATCAACTCAGCTAAGCATTTTAAGCTCGTTGAGTCTGAAGGAAGCAGCGGCTTTGACATAGGAAGCAGAAAGAGTGTTACTTATGGAAGTATGCAACCAAACAGAAAGTTAATGCAACATCTTTCCTTTATAATCTAGAATTCTAGTGATGTGAATTACTCCCTCCGTTCCCTTAAGAAATTAGGTAAGTTTATTATTGTACCCTTATTTAGTGTTCTCTTGAAGTCAAGTTTTCAATAAATGAATATAAATTAATTTATTTTGATTAATTAAATTGGCCAATGAACATGAGTTAAATCATTTCGTTTTTCTGTGTTGGTCAAATTCATACTTTCAAGGCTAATTTTCAAGGCTAATAACTTTCAAGGTAAAATAGAAAGAATAATGTTATTTATGTATTGATTTTGTGAAATGACAAGTACTCCCTCTGTCTATTTTTAATTGTTATGTTGTGCTTTTCGAAAGTCAATTTGACTAACTTGGGATCTCAGACCAATCACAACAACATATAAATTATCCAAACCACAACAACCAAGTACATGGAAAAATTCATAATATCACTCAATGATTATCAATCACATTAAGAGTCTATCTATCATATAAAATAAAGCACAACCTACCTCCACTGAAGAATCGAAGTCAAGCAAGCTCCTTCTCCAATACTTTTCCTTTTCTCAATGTCTCCGAACGTTTCCAATCTATGCAGTATGCAATATCCATAAGCAAACGAGTTCGTAGACATCCATATTACTATATATTTAGCATAGACTCAAAAACTTACCCAAATCTATCATCAAATTCTTAAATTTTGATACCAACTAATAATGAAGTCCCATATGTTCCTAATTTTTCAAGCCTAAAGTTAAGTCTTAATTCCTCCAAATAATATAACTCTAGTGAATTTCATATAATATAATAAACCTAATATTTAATTACATATTTTAATATATTAAAACTCAATTTATAATATGATGACAACGTAATAAAATTCAAGATTAAAGCCACTGGTTTCGAAAATCAGTGGCAAAAACTCTAACCCAAATTTATCATATACTATAAGCAAAATTTATCATATCATCAGTCAATGATTGGATAACCATTAATCCATCAACCAATTCATTATCACCCTCACTTTCTCAAAATCCAAACTGCCAGCACATCCGCTAACACCCACTTTCAATTCTCATCTAACCATGAAATATTATTATATTATATTTAACCCCTACTATTAAATAAGGACATTGAAGATTCAAAGCAATACCTCGATGTCGGTCTTTTTTGTTAGACGCCGCATGCAAAGTTTCTCGCCTACTTTTCTTTCTTCTTTCTTTTAAAGATTATTTCTTTACCCTAATTATTATACATGACCAACTATAAAAGTGGTAAAAGTGGCCTACTATTAATTTTAATGTTATTTTCTTTAACCACTAACTAAATTAATTATTAAAATTACCCCATTAGTTATATAACTATAGTTACGAATAGTCCAAAATACCCATTATCTATTGAAAAAGCCTTTTATGAAACAAAATCTCTAGTACTAAAAACGACCTAATGGGTCGTTACATCAGATACCAATTTACCCATCGTTCATCCTCGAATGATCAAAAGAAGGTGAGGGTAAGAAATGGTACATGAATCGATAAAAAAATGTGGATATCTTTCGTGCATATCAGCCTCACTCTCCCAAGTGGACTCTTCAATCGCCGATTCTTCCACTGAACCTTGATAGATGCAATCTCCTTTGACCTCAACTTGTGGACCTCCCTATCTAGAATAGCTATAGGCTCCTCCTCATAAGACAGATTCTCATCAAGCAGGATCGAATCCCAACGAATAATGTAGTTTCCATCACCATAATATTTTTTTAGCATAGATACGTGAAATACCGGGTGCACTCCTGACAACCTTGGAGGCTAGGCCAATTCATAGGCCACCTACCCCACACGCTTAAGAACTTCAAATGGCCCAATATACCTCGGACTAAGCTTACCTTGCTTACCAAACCGTATCACACCCTTCATGGGTGAAACCTTCAACAAGACTTGCTCACCCTCCATAAACTCCAAGTCCCTGACCTTCCGATCTGCATACTCCCTCTGCCTGCTCTGAGCTGCTAGAAGCTTCTCCCGAATGAATTTCACTTTCTCTAACGATTCCCTCAAAAGATTGGTACCCCAAGGTCTCACCTCAAATGCATCAAATCAACCAATGTGAGACCTACAACTCCTCCCATACAATGCCTCAAATGGGGCCATGCTAATACTCGAGTGATAGTTATTGTTGTATGAAAACTCTGCCAAGGGTAAGAAATGATCCCAATGACCACCAAAATCTATCACACACGCACGAAGCATATCCTCGAGCACTTGAATTGTTCGCTCAGACTGTCGGTCTAAGGGTGAAATGTGGTACTAAGATCCACTCTAGTACCTAATTCAGCCTGCAAGGTCCTCCAAAAGTTAGAACTAAATTGAGTACCTCCATCTGATATGATGGAGATTGAAAATCCATGCAATCGAACAATCACGCGAATATAGAGTGTTGCTAACTTCTCTGCATTATGAGTCACCTTGACCGGAATAAAGTGAGCAGACTTAGTTAACCAGTCAACAATTACCCATATAGAATCAAACTTGTTCAATGTTCTTGGAAGACCAACCACAAAATCCATTGCAATTCTTTCCCACTCTCATTTAGGAATGGGCATTCTCTTAAGTTTCCCTACAGGCCTCTGATGTTCATATTTTACCTGCTGACAATTTGGACATTGGGCAACAAATCAACAATGTCATGCTTCATTCTACTTCACCAATAATGCTGTCTCAGATCACAATACATCTTGGTTGCACCAGGATATATAGAATACCTCGAATTATGAGCCTCTGCAAGAATAGTATGAGTAAAATCATCATCACGGGGCACACATACCCGCTCCTTAATTCTCAATACGCCTTCCTCATCAATCACAACCTCTTTAGTATTTCCTCGTAATACAATATCTCGAATTCGGCTAAGCTTCTCATCATCAAACTGCTTTCCTTTAATCTTGTCAAGAAAATAAGATCTTGCCTCCACACAGGCCAAGAATCCTCCTTTCATAATTACTTCCAGCCTCATAAGGTCATTAGCCAGAGTTTGAACCTCTCTAGCTAATGGGGTTTATAAGCCTGTAAGTGGGATAAACTCTCCATGCTCCCTGCTTTTCTACTTAGGGCATCAGCCACAATATTAGCTTTACCCGATTGATATAGAATAGTAATGTCAGTCTTTCAATAGTTTCATCCATTTTCTCTGCCTTAAATTCAATTCCTTTTGAGTGAACACATATTGTAAACTGCGATGATCTGTATACACTTCACACTTGATCCTATATAGATAATGCCTCCACTGCTTCAATCCAAATACAACTGCAGCCAACTCCAAATCATGGGTCGGATAGTTACGTTCGTGCACTTTCAATTGCCTTGAAACATAGGAAATTACATTCCCCTCATGCATTAGCACTGCACCTAAACCAGAATAAGATGCATCACAATAAAAAATAAAATTCTTACCTTCCACAAGCAAGGCAAGAATCGGTGCAGTAGTCAACAAGGTCTTGAGTTTCAGGAAGCTCTCTTCACACTCATCCGACCATACAAAGGGAATTTCTTGGTCAAGTTGGTCAGTTGGGAAGCAATGGAAGAAACTCCCTTAACGAACCGACGGTAGTAGCTAGCTAAACCAACAAAGCTCCTTACCTCTGAAACATTAGTAGGTCTTACCCAACTCTTCACTGCTTCGATCTTAGTGGGATCCACCATTACTCCATCCTTAGAAACCACGTTCCCAAGAAGGACACTAAATCGATCCAAAACTCACACTTGGAGAATTTGGCATAAAGCCTTTTCTCCCTTAACAACCCCAATACAGTTCTTAAATGCTCTTCATGTTCTTTTCTACTCTTGGAGTAGATCAATATATCATCAATAAATACAATAACGAAGAGATCCAAATATTCAGGCTCATGAAAGTAGCAGGGGCATTCGTAATCCCAAAAGACATTACTAAGAACTCATAATATCCATACCTTGTTCGAAAAACAGTCTTTGGCACATCCGTTGCTCTTATTTTAGTTGATGATAACCTGACCTCAAATCAATTTTTGAGAAGACACAAGCACCCTGTAACTGATCAAACAAGCCATTAATGCGAGGAATGGGGCACTTGTTCTTAATATTCACCTTATTCAGCTGATTGTAGTATATGCACATCCGAAAACTACCATCCTTCTTCTTCACAAATAAAACTGGAGCACCCCAAGGAGAGGCACTCGGTCTAATAAAACCTTTACCTAACAACTCCTGAAGTTAGGCCTTCAACTCTCTCAACTGAGCCGGGGCCATTCTGTAAGGTGGAATGGAAATGGGGCGAGTCCCCGGCTCTAGGTGTCACGACCCGATTTCTCGAGTCATGATGACACCTACTATACCCTACCAATAGGTAAGCCAACCCGTAACCCAGAACATCAAGCAATGAGCGAAAGGGCAGAAACTAGCGAAAATAACAATCTAAACAAGAATAACAAGGTGGAAGCAACCCAAAATAAATATATACAGAAATCCCTTCCAGAACTTGGAAGTCACTAGTACAGAGCTATCTAATAAAGAGTACAAGTCCCAAAAATGGACCACAACAGAGCGTGTCTCAAAGGCAACAAGACTAGCTAAAAACAAAAGAAGGAGACAGAACAAACCCAAAACGCCAAGTGCTCGCCCTCGTCTCCGAATCACAGCTGCAAAAGAAGGCTGGAATAATCATCGTTGGTAACCGGTACTGGGACCTGCATCACGAAATAGATGCAGAGCGTAGCATGAGTACCAACACAACAGGTACTCAGTAGGCATCATAGGCCGACTGAGCAAAAATGGGTAAAAATAATAAGAAATGATAGAATCTAGACACAGAGAGGTCAAAGTGGATATGAAAAGAAAGCACACGAGCATACCAGAAACAAACTAAGTACACTAAACTAAACCTAACTGGATCCCATATGCCCAGAATGTACACTCGTGCGCAAGCTCAAACAAAACCTGAACGGACCCCCATAAGCCCGACAGGTACACAAAAAA